ATATCTCCCATGATTGTTCACATTTTAAAAGAAGGTTTTATGCACACGCACATTGTTAACTGAATTATGAAAACAAGTGATATTTTTGGTTTGTGCGTGAGCAAGATGTTACAAAGCGCTGGAGTTTGTTTCATGTGTGGCGCAAGTCCTCTGAATCTTCCTGGACTGTATTTTTTTTATAATTTGTTCTTTATTTGGAACAAAAACAAAAGGGTTTGGGAAATATGAGCACTAGAATGATTATACTGCCAATCATATTTTAATGAGTGTACTCCTTGTTACACTGATTGTTGGAAAGTCATACAAAAGCTTTTTTAACCAAAAATACAAGTTTAAATTCATAAAGAGTCTAAAATAACCCTGACAGATTAGCCTTTTCAAAGACAATCAGAACCACTTTTAAAAGCAGTTAATTATTTGTTTGTATTTTTAATATTCCCCATTTTGTTACAACATTTCTCTGCAGGAACTAGATGTTCTTTTTTTCTTCTCTGGCACATCTGGAAGCAGTGACTTTCACAGAACAGAGGGAAATAGTGATTCTCTGTGGCTCATTACCACAGAAGCTCTTTCACATTATAAAGATCAGTCATGTGATGCATTGTTGATACAGGAATATTAATTAAACTTTAAAAAAGGCTCTGATTTATCTATAACGTGTTGGCCATGATACATGCAGCTAGAATATACATGCTTAGAAGGCAATGTTTTGAAGCCTATAGAACCAAAAATGGACTCACTGTATTGGAAAAAAGCCTACAAAAACCTCCAGACAAGACAAAATCAGATTTTTTTTCTTTACCGGAAGGAACACAGCTGTCCACGGTAAAAAAAAAAAAGAACTGAAGTCATAGGTTTTGTGTATAATTATCGACCAGTGCAGACCGTCTCAAAATCAAGACATCATGCTCCCTCCTGTAACGTGAGGCAAAAAATTCCAATAAGTGCATAACTAGTGCTGTCACTGAGCCAGCAAGACCAAGGCAGTGTCAGGCAAGATAAATGACTGTAGTTACTGCTGTGTTGTGAGCGTTATCATATTTGAGGACTAATGACTGAGTTTTCTGGCAGAACATAATAGGTCAGGGAACTAGAGGCTCAATTTGGTGTCAGTTTTGTACTGAGGGTTTCCTACCTGGCAACGGCTGAGTGGAAGGGAAAGAGGCTTCATTTGCATGAAGGTGTGGGAATGTTCTTTCAAAGTAAAAGTCCCACAGTTGCACTACTGAGGGAAGTTGTAATCTTAATTAAAGGTGCAGCGTGTAAGAATAGCGTAAGATTTCTACTGTGAAATGATCCAAAAGCAGTCTTGTGTCTCAATCATGTTGAAAGGAAGGCTGTACCGAAACATGTTTCATTCTCAGATAGCTGTGGGGGTTGCCAGTATTTCTCCTTTCAAAATAAAAGGATGGAGGGACATAGCTACTGATTGCCATTAGTGAATGTTAAGTTAGCGTGTCTCCTGTGAGCTGCAGAGTTGGCATTTGTAACTCAACTACAGCTGCAAAAAGCTCCAGATTTTCAGAAAGAACCAAAACCAGTAACAAGAGCCACCCAGAAATAATTTATTGTACCCTCAAGAAGCCACAGCATCTTTTGTTTACTCACGTAAAGAAGGCCAGAGGCTAACAGTGGGCTAACAATGCTAACAGTGAATTAGAAGTAAATGGTTGGCTCTGAAAATATCTCAAGCTACTTTCAAAATTACAGACATATAGAAATTACAGTGAAATATATGTGGGTGGGGAATAATGGGTCAATTGTGGTGTTTTACTTGATTAAATAAGTCATTCAGAGCTATAACAGCAAGCTACTGGCAGCCAGGCGACAAAAACAACACATCCTCTGTGCCAGAGATATATTACCGTAATAGGTGTAGTAACTGCTCCCTACCATAAAACACCCATTAGTGATAACACCAGATATGACTAAGTATTTTTTTTTACTTATACACTTCCTGTGTCTGATTAATCTTTGCTTATATAGAATCTTCTGGTGCTGATCCATTGATGGCAACAGCCATGCAACTCTCGAAATAAGAGTGAGAGAGAGAGAGAGAGTGAGAGAGAGAGAGAGAAAGAGAGAGAGAGAGAGAGAGAGAGAGAGATTGCAGTAACCAAATTTAACCACTTACTCTTTTGTGACACACTGCACCTTTAATTTGGTATATATATATATATATATATATATATATATATATATATATAGTGCAACATGGTTTGATCAGTCAATTCTTAGCAAAAATGTAATGTGGCAGCTACAGGTGCCATGGATGCATTTTCTTTTTGTATAAATAACCATTTTTATTTATCAGATGGCTTTGCTCCACCACTTTACCATTAGAGCTTGTATGAAATAAAATGCAACAGTTATTTTTGTTACCCTTTTAACACATAGTTTACTTCCTGATGATCATAAAATGGCACTTAGCTTGACTCATAGCCAGCCGGACTGAGGGATTTTAATGTGAGTAAAGAATCAGACAGACAAGATGTGCTGTGAGTCAGATATAATCAAACTGGATCCGTTCAGTTTTTAAGTAGAGAAAAAACACATTTCCACCGTTCTGATTGTTGAGGAAACCTTCAGTAAGCCAGAGAGGGTTTTATGCATCTTTGTTTAGCCTGTATGGTTCCACTGAGAAACTCAAAACACTGTTTTTGTGATGAGGCTGCCATTGAACTGGCAACCTTCCAATTGTTTTTTTCTCTGTTTTTACAGCTTTTTATGTCCACATTAAAAAATCCATGAGAAAAATATATGTAATGAATGTTTTTATTCATTTGAGGAAAGGAATGAATCGCATGGAAATATTAATGCAAATAATGATAATAATATTAAAGCAATGGGTTTCTATTAAGGAAATGTTTTTTTTGTTGTTTTTTTGTTCAGTGCACACTTCAATAAAATATAGAGATAAAAGTTGCTCTACCTAGTGGTTGGCCTCCCAGTTGAATGGTTAAACACGTAACTTTTTACCTATAAAATTATACAGATGCTGTTTTTTTAATTCACTAAAATCAAAGCCATCTTTTAATCATCTTTAATTATCTTGCGGTGATTGATTTGCAGCCATTTCTCCAGCCCTTACAGTATGAACCCTGTGCTGAGAGATGTTTTGTAGACAAAACACAACACAAGCGTTCCCTCACCCATGTGGTCTCATACAGCTGTCAACTGCAGCACAAGGGTCAGACGAACTCTGACAGAGGTCAATCGAATCAGCTGTCTTTTCAAAGTATTGTGAAATTGCTGGTATTTGAGAGATTTTTGGTCATGTATCATTATGAGTCTGTTGTTTGTTTCTTTTTTCTCTGTAGCCCTGGGAAGTAGCAGCTTTCTGGTCAGCAGCTACAACCAGCACCCATTTTAACAAATACAATAAAAGGAAAATGAGGAGAAAGTTGAAGAGCTTTTGCATTTTCATAAAGTTCTCCAAAACCCTCTAATCTTTTTTAAGATGTAGGCGATGAGTTGAACCATTGTGTTAAACGTCCTATTCATGATCTGTTCACTTTATGTTTCCTGTAAGTTGACGATGAATCATTTCTAAGTTGTCCTGCCAAAAAATGTGAAAAGCCCTATGCTGCTGCATGTTCTCTTTTCAGTGTCTGGAAGCATGATCAACACTGGGTCATCGACAGCCATGACACAAATATAGCTTTAAGCTACTGCTGGCATTTTCATTTTGGAAATGTGATTTAGAATGCTTCCCTTTGGGAGTGATTACATGTTGCCAGCATTTCACCATTGAAAAGGCCACCAGAATGAATGAAGCGTGCCGGATAAGGCGGCTTTTCTCCTGCAGTTTCCACTGCCAGTGCAATTTTCTGCTGTGCACATGTAAGGAAGGGAGTCCAAAAGTGAATTGACTCGCTGATATTAACACTATAATTGTTTATTGTGCATAATTAGATCCACTGAGTTGCATTGAAACTCAAACTAACCACCAGTCATCTGGAGTTGCATGGTAGGGAGGCATTTAATAATTATGCATGTTAACTTTCCCAAAGAGGACAGAAGATAAACAGAAATTGCAGTGGAAGTTTATGGAATTGCAGATTAAGCTTCAGGAACCGATTTCAAACAAAAGCTTGCTTCTCTAATTTCATAGAGCTGGTGTCAGTATCACACAGTTATCTCGCCCGTGGCCACATAATGACACCTGATGGGAAAAGAGCAGGAGCTCCCCTCGCAGTAAGCCGGCGGAACAGCAGTCGCAGCGAGTTGATGGAACGGCAACTTTGCCTCACTGGTGACAATCGCACTCGCGCGCGTGAGCGCATGCACGCGCACTCCAATGTTCAGGAGCACGCACAGAGACGCAGATGTAACTCTAAAGATAAACAACAATGAGAAGAAAAACCGCGTCCCCCATAACATTATGAATTATTTGAATGCTTTGTTGTTTATTCCAGTCAGTTTTCTTGAATGATTAAAGTGCAGACGGAGTCAGCTAGAATACACACACCGACTCCTGCTGCACAGGGATCTGCAGGCCCGCTGATTTACCTCCACTCTTTCATGTTACCTTTGCAATTATCGCTTCCACTCGAGTCTGCGTATCATGCCCGCTCTAAACAGTGAGATCATTGTTCCGCGGTCCTGATGTTGCAGCATCACCTCGTAAAGGTGCTTCTCGACAACATTAGGAAGAAAGAACCCACGTAAACTCATCCGTTTGGAGATGAATAGCTTTAAATGGGACTGCGAGACTCCCGAGTCGATCCTTACAGTCGACATTCTGTCCGGGCGGAGCTTGGACGGGACTTGCAGGGCGAATATTTTAAGGTTCACCCAAGAGAAAGGAGAGACAGAAAATAAAAAACCGCCATCCTAAAGAAGGACACTAGCGACCACCTCAGCTACATGCTGACCGTGCAATATCGCCATAATTGTGCCACACAGTGAAGCCCTGCCTACCCGAACACAACCTCATGGTCAGTGAGGGATAGAGAATATAAAATATGACAGGTCCGAGTCTGTTTAAGCACACTTACCTAAAACTGACTCTCTCCTCTCGGTGGTATCTGCGGTCCGAGCGTTGTTAGTTCTCTGGCCAACAACTTCTGCTGGAGCATATGTATCCAGTGCTCATGCTGGTGGCTCGGTCGGTGATGTTGAATTGCGGATGATTTGCCAATCCTTCTCATGCTCAAGAGAGGAAAATCCGTCGTTTCTCCGTGGTCTCGGACATTGGCGCGCAGAGGTAGAAAGTGATGAAGTCCGTCAGGAGGGCAAGAAGCTAGAAGTAAGATTTATGTCGACGTGTTTGAAACAGTTATGTCCTCTTTTTCCCTCCGTCTCTCTCTCTCTCTCTCTCTCTCTCTCTCTCTCTCTCTCTCTCTCTCTCTCTCTCTCTCTCTCACCGGAGGAGCGGGTGGAGAGGTGTGGGATGATATCTAGAAAGGGAGGCTGGGATGCACAGACTGAGGGCGAGAAAGGGGAGGTACAAAGGATCCTGTATGGTATTGTAGAGGACGGTCATGGCAGACAGCGAGGGGTGGGTCTGGGCAATGCTGAGGAAGGTTTGATGCGTCGTGACTTTTCTCTGTTCATAGGTAAATATTTACGCCTTGGTGGATAATTTATGCATCACCGGCTTGTCAAAATAGAGGAAGATTAAATCCAGCACTGACTGTGAGAATTCAAAGCAAATTCAGATGCATTTGGACGCAATAAAAGTAAAAATTTATCCATATCAACTAAACATCAACACTAACACGCCCCTTCTAAAACCAGCTCCTCTGCCAGGAGCAATCCACGGTGCTGAATGCTACTGGAAAAATAGATGCTGGTCGCTGTCCATGGTGCTGAAAGCGGACTGCCTTTGCTGTTTGTGATTGTTATAACTTCTCAAAGAGCTGCTGACTGGGAGCGCTGATATCAACATCATTCAATCAACTATAAATTAATAATTTAGAACTGTGCTGTTATTTAAAAAGGGGAAAACTATTGACATCTCCAAAAATAACAACACGTGTTGTTCCTATGTGCCTCAGCTGTAGACGGTAAAAATCCAGCAGAAAAACCTATCCTAAGTAAGGTCTGGCGATCGTATATAAATCTAGAGTGAGCATGATGTAAAACACAGGCTAAAGTAAGTAAAAACACAAAAAGTAAAGGAACTGGCAGACGGCAGGCCGACAACACTGGCGCCATCTTGAAAGCGATTAAGGGGCGGGCACTTAACTCCTTTAGTTTACCACCTGTTAACCAGGGATTACATGCTCTCTTTTTTAATTGGAAGGTTTCAGGTTCGAGCACCGCTTAGTCTGTCACCGTCGTTGTATACTTGGGCAAGACACCTAACCCACCTTGCCTCCTGGTGGAGGTCGGGGGGACCAATGGCGCCTGTGTTCGGCAGACTTGCCTCTGTCAGGTAGCCCCGGGGCAGCTGTGGCTACAGTGTAGCTCAGAATGGCTGATTGTGTTGTAAAGCACCTTGGGGGGTTCCAGGACTCTAGAAGGTGATAATGGATGGATTGTATAAGATTAGAACTAATCTACTTCTTGAAATTGAACAAATCCAAATAGGACAAACATGCTATTTGTACATATACCTTCCACTTGAAATATTCTGGTCAATTAAAAGTCTCACATCTCCATGGTAATGTTATAAGACTTTTGTAAGGAACAAAGGCAAAGTGTTGACATTTTTTCCCTGACATCTGGGTTTCTTTAGACCTGAATACAGCCAGTATCACTGATGATTTATAGCAGCTATTAGCCTGACAACATATGGTTGTAAAGATTAAGGAACCAGCTGAGATGTCACAAAACAACCATTTCAACAAGTGTTTCTTCAGACACACAGCCCATGTGTTGGATTTTCAGCGTGTCTCAAGGTGTGTGACACATCAGCTTAAATCTGCTTTGAGTGGGTGACTCCCAAAGTTGTGCAGGGCTGCACTCAAAAGCAGTTTTAACCGTCTGAATGAAACTGAATCAGGCATAAACTTCCAAGATTTTCAACCATTATTCATGATTAGTTATTGGTTTATAACATTGAATAAATATACAATCACAGAGAGTATACAGTCACGCACATGTTCCGGTGTGGATGACATAACTGTTAAAAAATAAACAAAAAACAAACCTTATTTTGAAAAAACATGTATCCTTAACCCATCATTGCTTAAAGATACATGTTACATCTGTGTAGATTCTCAGTCATCCAGGACATGAGGATCTTGGATGTTTAGCTGGAAACATTCAAATTCAAATTCAAAAATACTTTATTAATCCCAGAGGGAAATTGATTAAATCTGGACTTTTCCTGTTTTCCTTGAAGATGTTTTGACTCTCATCAAAGAAACATCTTCAGTTCTGAAACTTGGGTTGGGATCAGAAGGCTTATGAGGTCTGGTCAGAAACAAACATGCCGATAAGGCAATAGGAGTCTGGTGGGACCATTGTTATTACTAATGCGGTCATCAAGGTCACATGAGTCCCTGGCCCCTCCCACTATTCAGCTCCCTGTTTGTCATTGGTACTGATGATCCTAAAAGGTGTCTAATGAAGCCCACCTGTGGACAGTTTTGGTCATGTTTCAGTTTGACTGCTTGGGGAGACAACTCAAGGTGGCACTGAAGATGTTGGAAAGATGAAACCTAAGTCCATGTTGTTGTTCTTTTGTTAAAACACAAAAACAGTTTTGTTACCTGTTTTCTCGCTACGTTTCGCCTGTGGCTGAAAACTTCCTCAGGCTGACGCTGATGGTGGCATCACTTCCTTCTCTGTTTATCCGCAGGCAGTCAGAAACAGAAGGCAGCATAGCATTTATGGGCATGAAAATCACCAGGCAGACCGACGGGGCCCTAAACACAAACACATACAGGAAACCAACACACACAGACCAATATCTTTTATGGAAATCAGAACACCCTACCATACACAAAATGTCAGTAATCAGAACACTATATCACCGATCAAACATGATAACTGAAGAAAGAGACTGTAAACAAGAGGACAAACACATACAACATGCTTTAAAGACCTGCGGATACCCAACATGGGCAATAAACAAAGGAAAACAACAAACAACAACAGGAAGAAAAGAACAACCAAAGCAAAGAACCAGAAATCCAGAAAGACAAGAACCAAAACCAGTGATAACATCAGAGGCATAACAAAAAAATAAGAGCAACAATGAAAAAAAAGAACATAAACACACCAAAAAAACCATACACAACTGTTAGAAACAGACTAGTGCACCCAAAAGACAAAATCCCATGAAAACTCTGCAATAAAACATACATAGGAGAAACCGGACGCCAGCTCAACACACGAACAATAGAACATAGAAAGGAGTGTGAGAAAGAGGCAAATCGAAAACACACAAGAGCAGCAAAAGAAGAAGCAGAAAGTGCAATAAAGAAGTCAGCCGTAACAGATCACTGCATAAGAGAAAACCATAAAATGGACTTCGACAACACAAGGATCATAAACACCGAACAACAGAAATACAAAAGATGGATAAAAGAAGCCATAGAGATAAGGAGACGTGGATGTGGGACCATGAACAGGGACAATGGAGTTTACTCTTTGGACCGCGCATGGGACTGCATCGTCAGAGAGGGGAGAGCGGGCAGTAGAGGGCGACAACGTCCTCTGCTGCCCGCAGATAAATGGAGAAGGAAGTGACGCCACCATCAGCGTCAGCCTGAGGAAGTCTGCAGCCGCAGACGAAACGTAACGAGAAAACAGGTAACGAAACTGTTTCTGTGTTTTAAAAAAGGAACGGCAACATGGAATTAGAACCATGACACAGCAAGAACACACCTAAGATGTTCAAAGATGCATTTTTCTATTTAATAAAAAAAAAAGTCAGTACTTGCTTAGGTTTACTATTTTATTTAATATCTTAAGAAATTCAGTTTAAGCACTTTTCCATTAGGCAGTGTTGTACATTAGTAAATTAAAAGGCACGAGAGCGAATGACAAAAGATTCTAGAGTTTTGTTCATACCATTGACATATATATATATATATATATGTCCTCCTATGGAGGGGAAATGGGAGGTGGCCACCACCGCCTTCTTGACCGTGTCACAGTTTCCGTCAAGCCCAGACAATTCCACAAAAGGGAAGAGAGGTGGAGCTGAGGGTGGGGCTGTGAGGCTGGGATCAAATGACGACACTCGGTCGAACTAGCTACAAGCTAACCTGAAGCTAATCCAAAGCTAACACAGAGGTGGGAGCTAAGCTAATGGAGGTAGCTACCTAGCTACAACTGGAGCCAACTCTGTGGAACACCAGCAACCTGAAGCTCACACAAAGTTTGTGTGGAGGTTTGCGGCACTTTTCATGAAAACTATCTTTCTGTGAATAATAAAGTATTAAATCGGTAAGTTTATAAGTTATTTCCTTAATGAAAATATATTTTCCTTTGAGCAGGTTTTCAATATTTTTAACATACCGTATTTTCCGGACTATAAGTCACTCCGGAGTACAAGTCGCACCAGCCATAAAAAGTATAATGAAGAAGAAAAAAACATATATAAGTCGCACTGGACTATAAGTCGCATTTTGGGGGGACATTTTATTATTTTTCTTACAAAATCTGAGACCAAGCATTTCACATTGCAAGACAAGTACCAGTAACAATAACAGAATAAACAACGCAGACGCAGCAGCGCGCCACGGTCTCCAGCAGAGGATGACGTGTTTGAAACCCTCCCAGCGGCACAGGAGAGCTCATTCCTTGGTCAGAGCCTGCCCTCAGCAGCGCACCACAGGCCGCAGCAGGTGATGGCGGGGCAGAGGAGCTGAATCCTGGGCCGGGTCACCATATTTATGGTGACTGGAACTGTAAGCATGTGAAAAAATAATACTTTTAATTGATTTTGACATGAGCTGAAGTAACAGTTTACATCTCACTAACTCTCCAATGGTCCACTTGTCGTCAAGTGCTTGAAGCATCAACCAATGGGCAAAGAACCTGCCAGAAGCAGCGCTGCATAGAGCTCAATGAGGCTAAATGGATAAATGGCACCATTACAGAGTCATTTGCCTGGAAGTGGTGGTGACACATGACAAGATTCTGTTGAAGCTGTGGACATAAAATGCTGCAAGGTTCACTGAAGCTGTTCCATGTCATAATTCTATTGGTTGTAGCGTTTCATTTGAAACATCCGCTCCATTTTCTGGGATTTTCTGTCACTGATGTCTTTTAGTTTCCAGGCACGTTCAAGACAACTCTTACATTTCATAATTTTCTTGTTTTGAAAACGCCGAGTCACAGAAGCAGCATTCTGCTATATTAGAAGAATTCACCTTTTATGCTGCTGATTAGATTATCATTAAACGACGTTCCAGCGAGGTTCCCTGATGGTGTGGC